CATATAGATGAGAAGCCATCTGTCATGTAGGCACGAGCTCTTACTGCAATTATACCTCTGTAGGTGCTTCTGTGGCACCGAAGACTGCTTGATGTTAGGCTAGCACTTTGTTTTACCCCAATCATTGCATCTGAAGCCACTTCAACCACTCCAATACGAACGTCCAAATTTGCCTTAATCCACGCTAGTGCCTTGGCTCCACCCAAAGATGCTCCATTCACAGCTCCGTGTTGTCGACTAGAAGCGCCTGTAGGTACAAATGGAAGTCCTTCGTCATTGCAGCATGGCGATTGTGTGCGCGAGTGGTCCAGATGCCATCCAACCATGAAGCGTGTAATCCACAAACAATGACTTGACAGAAGAAAATTCATTATTGCCCAGTTAGTGAGTGAATGTGCCGTGGTCAGTGGATGCATGCATGATAATTAGAGAACGGCAAATGCCTGGATGTGTGTCTACGTGGTTTGGGTGATTCCTGTTGCGATTATTCACAGTAACTGATTGGCCTTCATCCTTGAGTAGTAGTATCAGTGGACAGGCATCCACAACACCGCCTCTGCTTCTCCAGTCCAATTAATAGTGTCTCCTACCTCCGTCTGGTAGATGTTTTTCAGATGTGAATGTCGGTAGCACCCGTGTTCCACCCTGGTTTAACCCCTGGCCTGGTGTAGAGGGAAGGCCAACCTTAGACACCGAGTTTAATGAATACCGGACTACCCATGCCAACTTGTTTCTAATCACTGACCACTAAATTGCAGTAGGTCGACTTGTGATCAGCAGAACACAAGAATATAGGACCCAGAAGTCCGCCGACAGCAGTGTGCACCAATCACTAGCCAGTGCTCCAGTGTTAATACGGCCCTTTCTCAAATAAACAACTTATGAGAACCTTTAAATGTCACTTTTATCGTAGAAAAGGTGGCAAGTTGGATGAAAAAGGAAATACTCCTGGACAAAATGAGTGTTTCTGAAGCGTCTGTCAACAGTCAGCAAGCTCGCTGGCATCCATCAAGGACTTCTCTTTTTGACCGTCCAATTAAACAGGCTTGTATACGCACCACATCTTCTGCCTTGTAGTTGAGGACGCCTTAGCTCGGCTCTGTC